ATTGTCTTTTAACATTAGTGACTTTGGCATTCCTCATTAAAAGAGTAAGCTCTTCTCTGATGAAATTCAATCCCATTATTTCTTCAACAGCTTTTTTAATATGTCTTTTGGTACCTTACCAAATTTATTCTGTATCGCAGTCATCTATAGTACGGGAAGAAGATTAAGTTCTTTGTCACCTTTGCGTACATATCACTCTTATTCCTCGGGGGTCCTTTATCTTGTTGGTACTTTTGTTTTACTTCTTTGAACCCTTTTGTTTTTTACATGGGAGATTCTTGATCTTTGTTTAGCTATAGTGAGATAAGATTTGTGAACTCAATAATTTTAAATCCATTATCAGATGTTTACACCAGCCAGACACTACAAAGCCTCATCCATAGGTATTCAATCTGTTGTCACAGCAATGTTAAATAGTGGTACAGCATTTCCGAAAGTGTATGAAAGGTCTAGTCTATAGGTCTGTATAGCATCAAAACATTGTAATATTCAATTATGAAGTATGTGTGGCACGAACTGCATTGCACCATTCTTGACAGTTAATTAACATACACGTACATAGGTGTGTGTATATACAGGTTGTTCTATAAGTAGAGGTAAGTTTTGATAGGAGTGATAGCAGCCCTCAAGACCTACAAAAATTTCAGCAGAAAAGTAGAAAATACAAGTTTTGTGTTTTTTTTTTAAGTGAGTTACGTTTTTTGTTGAATAGGAAGCATAACTCAAAAAATACTTAATATAAGCAATTACCAATTGTGTCCCAATATACTAGATAAAATTTACTTTAAATGAAAATAGAGTTAGTTATTGTTAAAACCATTTAAAGAGGTATTTTGAGTGGATAAACTAAGCTAAGTTCCGTTCTTAAAAAAATCATAAATTATTGGTGTTTTTATTCCATCATCATGCAGCTATGCTACAGACACCCCAATTCAAAAAAAAAAATCCTCAATTAATAACCTCAAGTCTGTATTAATTAAGTGAGGTTTATTAGGAAAAAATTTGAAATTCACCTCAAGTTGTGTACAGAAATGAGGTGATTTTCAATCGTCACCTAAAAGTACCCGTCTTTTCAGCAAAAATGACTACAATTAACTGTTGTAAAACTTTTATTTATTGTTTTCCTGTATTATGGGATGTATTGTAATAAAAAAAATTGCCTTATTATTTATAAAAATAAAAAAATTAAAAATAATGATTTTTCTAATTTTTTTCATGTAAGGTGGTTATGTAATTTTTTTTTCCCCCCGATTTCGGTCATATAAATTGGTGCATTTTTATAACTGACAAACTTAATGTTTGGAGCCCTGATATTTACGTTTTCAAGAAAACAATTGAAGCAATCACTAGGTTTCTTTATTTTAAATGTAAATTTTATTAAGAAACATTATTTTTGTCACTTATAAATACGCATCAATTCTTATGACAGAAATCTGGGAGAAAAACACAATTTTATAAGGTCGTTACCTTACATGAAAAATTTTTCCTTATAAACCTCAACTTTTTTTTGTTAAATTGAGGTATCTGTAGCATAGTTGTATGATGATGAAATAAACATGGCAATAATTTATGATTTCTTTAAGAACAGAACTTAGCCTCTCAAAAGACCTCTTTAAATGGTTTTAACAATGACTAACTCTATTTTCATTTAAAGCAAATTTTATCTAGTTTATTGTGACGCAATTGGTAACTGCTTATATTAAGTATTTTTTTTAGTTATGCTTCCTATTAAACAAAAAAAGTAACTCACTTAAAAAAAACACAAAACTTGGATTTCCTACTTTTCTGCTGAAAATCAGTCCATTGTTTATATAAACTTTTTTGTAGGTCTTGAGGGCTGCTATCATTCCTATCAAAATTTCCCTCTACTTTTGGAACATCCTGTAATACACACACCTATGTCCGTGCTTGTTAATGAACTTAGACTGTCAAGAATGGTGCAACGCAGTTCTTGCCACACATACTTCATAATTGGATATTACAATGTTTTGATGCTATACAGACACTAGACATTTCACACACTTTCGGAGTTGTTGTACCACTATTTAATATTGCTGTGACAACAGATTGAATACCTATGGATGAGGCTTTGTAGTGTCTGGCTGGTGTAAACATCTGATAATGGATTTAAAACTCATGAGTTCAAAAGTCTGTTTAATTATTAATCTGTTTAATTAGTTATTATTCGCCAATTGGAACCTCTGGGGAACAAGATGAGTAGTTCTATGACTCATAATCGGTGCCTGGTCAATCCAGATGTCAAGATCATTGCAGTTTGCTTTAGTCGTGAAGTAGGAAAAGAAAGAAGTTATAGTGTTAACTGTAGTGTTGAGAAGCATGAATTTTATTATAGATTGAAGTACAATGGTAATGTAAACAGGCTGATTATTTCTTTGAATTATAGAGTTTGATTATTGGTAGCACCCTCTTCGCATACTAAAATATAGGATAAAGTACGAACCCTGTTGGATTTACCATTAAACAGAAAGACCATCTTTTGATAAGTGCTAAGCAGAAATCAGACCTTGATTTGATGTACAATACTCACTATAGCTAAACAAAGGTCAAGAATCTTTCATGTAAAAAACAAAAGGGTCCAAAGAAGTAAAACAGAAGTACCAACAAGCTAAAGGACCCCCGAGGGATAAGAGTGATATGTACTCAAAGGTGACAAAGAACTTAATCTTCTTCCTGTACTATAGATGACTATGATATAGAACAAATTTGGTACCAAAAGAGATGTTAAAAAAGCTGTTGAAGAAATAATGGGAGTGAATTTCATCAGAGAAGAGCTTACTCTTTTACTGAGGAATGCCAAAGTCACTAATGTTAAAAGACAGTGAAAAAAACCTGTGATCAAAAGGAGGCACACATGAGTATCAGTGGATATTTATTGCAATAGAGGAGAAGCAGCTGTACAAGAAGAAAAATGGAATTGAAGGATTTGGCAAATTGAGGAGCTAAGATATGTAAACCTTTTATTGAAGAGTTAATAATGAGCTAAATCCATTTAAACTACAAACGTAACCCTTCTCACAACTTGTTTTGGGAAGATGGAAAACCAATTCTATAAATTGTTAAACGTTTTACATGGCCAAGCTGAGGGGTGGATTGACTGAGAGGATTAACGTGTGTGCACAGCAATGCATGTTGTCCCCGGAAACCTGATAAATGAAGTTAAAGACTTTAAAATAATTACGAGTTCACGACCAGGTGCCGGGGAGGGAGAGAGAGAGAAGGGGACTTTTAACTAGGGCATTAATCCCTTACCCTCATCCTCTGGCCCAGGAAAATTCCTGTATAGTCTAAAAGGCAAGGTAGTAGAGAATAATAAAAAAAAAGCCGAGCTGAACAAATGAATCCCTAGTCTGAAAGAAACTAAGGTGATGAGATTGAACCCTCTGATGAGTGTGATGCCAATCAGAAACTTAGGAACCATAAGTCACCTAAAACTCCAAAATTCTTTTTAAAAAAAGAGGTGGAAATATTGTTAAAATCTTAACAACTTTTTTGTATATGTGTGTTATCAGAAATAATGCTGAGTTCAATAAATCAAGATTGTGCCTGATTCACAAGAAGCTATTGCCTTGTGTAAATAAAATAATTTCATATATTTTATGCAACTTCTATTATATGTTGAGAGTCTACTGGGAATATATCAATGTGCAGTCCACTGAGGAAAACCTATAGTGGATTACTTTGAAAATCTTCTCACTCAATTATCCTACAAAGGTGCTTCATTTATTCTATCGATGTTAAAAAATCTTCAAATGATGGATGCTTTTTTTTAATAAAAAGTATCTGGTAATTAATTTTAATGCAATAATTTGTGAAAATAGTGAATTTTTGTTAAATAATGTTTTCATGGTTCCTACACTTTATGATTTTTATATTCTGATCTCCTTTAATTGTGTGTGTGTGAGTAAAAATTTTATTACTTATTAATGTTTGCATGTTTTTCAAATGAAGTAAGAAGACATGAAAGTATTAAATATATATATATATATATATATATATATATATATATATATATATATATATATATATATATATATATATTATATATATATATATATATATATATATATATATGTGTGTGTGTTATAGAAATATTATATATTGATATTATATTTATTGTAAATATTATTTCATCCTGATAGGTTTTAGTTTGTTTTCAATTATAAAAAATTAAGAATTCATTTTTTAAGAAACTAATCGCTAATAGTATTCGCAAATATTTAGTTCTATCTTGGATGAATAGCCAGTTATTTATTATGTAATTTTGGGAAATTATCGGCTTTTATGTTATTTATTTTTTTGTTAGAAATTTTTAACTGTTGCATTGCATATAATTATGTATTACAGCTATTTCTTTGTCTATTTGATGAATATTTTAAAAACTTTTTACTTCATTTTATATGCCCTGTATTTTTGGGTTTTGCATGGTATTCAAATCCATTTGTCTGATGATATAGTAATATTAATTCAAACAGAATTAAAATTAATAGTCAAATTCATTATGAATTACAAGTAACTTTTATTTTTGATCCTCGGTGAGCTCATGCATTACAAAGTGATTATGACAATATATTACTCATTTTCATTTATTTAAATGATGAGTAACCTGGAATGAAATTAGTTCTAGGCTACTTGATGTAAATATAATCAGTCAGATGTAAGCAATGACCTAAATCAAAACATCCTATAGATAGACGACTTATGACCTTTTGTTCCCTCCAGATCATATGAAAATTGTAACACAATTTTACATATCAAAATATAGAAATTAAACAATAAATTATCAAAGCTAATTATTAGTATTATTTACATTAAGTAAAAAGCCAGCAGATATATATTTATATAATGAGACCAGAAGTCGTACAGTTGAGCTAATTAGAATCTAAGTATATTTTTTCTCTAATAAATAAATTAGAACCTTTATTAGTAGAAATTTTAATGAGCCAGACATCATAATTTCAAGAAATTTTACCTTATTATAGGGAAACTATATTGCAAAGACAGCCTAATGTTTTTGATTTGGCAACACATCAATCAATCGTGCCAATGAATGTGATAGACTAGAATTTCAATGTAGAGTAGTACAACTGAAGATATCAAGGCTGTGCCTAAACCCCAGGAAGAAGGAATAGTGAATATTTTTTAGGTAAATGTTTATTTTTTTCTATTGAGAAACATTAAATGGATAGAACAACTATATATTTTATAAATTTACACACAGTGATACAAAACTCCCTGTGCAGTTGTTAATGCTCAAATTCATCTTAACTGAAAATTTAATCAAACTAGGCAAAAGCATCAAATCAAGTATGTATAATACAGAATTACTGTAAAACAATATAAGTGCAATGACAAATCAACCATTTCGGATTGTTTCATTATTCATGAGCTAAAACAGAAATCAAACTCTTATACATTTATACTTAATAAATATCTTTGTTTAATTTTAATTTAATTTCCAGAATGTGTGAGGAATTACATCTTGAACGGCTCAATAACAGGGTATCTTGGGGTTTTCGATTGACTGGCGGGCTTGATTTTGGAACACCATTAAGTATCATAAAGGTATTTTAAAATGTTTTATATTTATATTATTGTAAAACAGTACAGAAATTACCTTTAGATTTATTGTTGAAATCAAATAACATACTGTCTACTAAACTTGGCTTATGAAATTCCTGGCTTTTCTGAACCATTTTATAAAATTCCTGACTAAAAACTACAATATTCTGTTTTGTTTTTTTATGTTATAGTACATAATCAATGGGTAAAAAACACTGTGTATTCACCAATTTTAATTTATTTTACTATTTCCTATATTATCTTTATTTATGCACAAGGGATCCTCAAGATTTGTCGTCAAATCCAATTTAGGATAATGTAAATATTTCAATAAGATTTTATACGTATATAATTAAATGATTTCAGAATATATAACAAAAAATTACAATTAAAAACAAGAACATATTATGTTAAAAAATAAGTATAAACAAAAAGAATATTATTCTATATTACTTCTAACAGTTTTATAATTGAATGAGAAATGTTAAACATACTGAATATTTAATATGTCAATGTTTCAAATGAAAAAGCTAATATATTCAAATGACAAATAAATGTTAAATGTTCTATTAAGCTAGGTGTTGACTTGATTCTATGCTCTCATATCTCCACCCACTCCTCAATGAAATGTATATTACATTCGTAACTTCTATTGTTTATTGACTCTTTAATGAGGATGGACTCATATATGAGTTGAGAGGGAATCTGACCAAGGGAACAGTGGGCTAACAAATTTGTCGCGACATAATTAGGCCTAGGTGACAGTGGATCCAGATATGAGACAAGAGCCTGTTGGGCTAATATAACATATTTCTTTCTTTTTTTTTTTAAGGGAGAACATGACAGAAACATAAAACAGTTTTGTTTTTAGGTTTTAGCTTATTGAATTATTTAAAAGGTGAATTGATAAAAAATAAAGGTTTAAAAGTTCATATTTTATAAATAAAAAAAAGTAGAGGTCATGTTGTAAAAAAAAAACAAAAAAACATTTCAATCGTATAAAAGTTAAATAAAAAAATAAAATAAAAAAAGTTTGTAATGATGCCCTTAATAAAAAGGCTAAAGTGGTGAGTAGAGGTGACTCTTTAGTATTCTGTCACAGGGGCATAAAGAGCTGTCAGCTAATGTTGTCCTAAAGGCTGCTCTTTTCCTCCTCATCATTGCTAAAAGATTAAATCTTGAATTCTTGAAGGAGTTTAGTCGACTGTTCTACATATCATGGGTGATAAATATTCAGGACGCAGTCTTTTTAAAAAAAAAAAAAATTTTTTTATTTTTGCCAACGTTTCAACCCAAACATGTGGGTCATCTTCAGGGCGTGGTTTGAGCACTGAGGTTGTTCATGTACTGACCATGTTGGAAATTAAACATGTTGGTCAGTACATGTACAACCTCAGTGCTCAAACCACGTCCTGAAGATGACCCACATGTTTGGGTTGAAACGTTGGCAAAAATAAAAATTTCTTTAAAAAAGACTGCGTCCTGAATATTTATCACCCATTAAATCATGAACTGAATGTGTGCATCATCACCTTCAATTTACCCGCTAAGACAGAAATTTAAAAAGTGAAGATTTGAAGAGGTACAAATATTCTGGATTTATCCTGTTTTTCCTTCTTTTTCTATCGGTAGAGAGTCTCTTTAAGATTATTTCATTAGATGAAGGTTATAATTATTCCAATCAAGGAGCATTGATTAAACTCCTTTTTCATAAGCATTGGTGAAAACAATTATTTAGCTCTTGTTTTCATCCATTTCTCTTCATGATAATATTCACTATAACTGCTTTTATAATGTCACTGTGCCAAAAATTAGTTGCCACCTCCCTTTTAATTTATCTAATTTTTAACAACAAAAATTCTTCCTTATTTTGAATGGATTTATTAAAAAGGACTTTCTATCTATGAATGAGTTGCACATGTTATGTTTTTATCCACATCCTTACATGTGAAGAGTTCTGTAAGGATCTTGGATTCTGAAATTAAAAGTAGAATAGTGAGGAATTTAGAAAATTACTATAAATGGCTCATTTAAAATTTTCATTGAAATTAAACTTTGAAAATGGTATACATTTTTAGATCAATCTTTTTATTACATAATTCACATATCGTCAGTCACAATGTGAAAAGTGACTAAGTACCGTTTTGATATAGCTAAACTTTTAAGTTCAACTTTGTGAATTTTGATCATATTCAATTATGCAAAAACTCAATAATTGCTTAAAAATAACACGAACCTTATGATATCTCAAAAAAAAGAGAATAAAATGGACAATATACTCTTATTCTTGGAGCTGCCAGTAGATGCCATGCTCACTGCCTTGACTAGTCCACAGTTCAAAAACTCACCAGACCTTAATTTTTTCTTTACTAATTATTAATTTTTGTCATAGTTTCCATTTTTCATTATTTTTAATAAACAAAATTAAAAGCTCTTCTGGAGAAGAAATTTGGAAATTTGGCATTTTGATCTCTTTCAAACTATTTCAATGATATTAAGACCTATTTGATGATAAGTTCATTTAATTCCAGATCAATAAAATTAGTTTGATTGAAGTCATTTACCATTTTCGAGATAATTGTATAAATTTGTAAAATGATGATATAAAGTGCCACACTTTCAGATAATCAGTTTTGATGAAAAAGTTGATGTAATGTCCAAGACATATATGCACCTTAAATACATAATTTCAGTTACATGGCTGATGGGAATAATATTCCTCTCCTTCCCCATGTATCCGAGTTCAGTACACAGGAACACCAGTACTACACACCCTAAGTCCACCTTCCCTAAAAAGCCGTCTTGAAGAGGGAGCAAGTCAGGTTGCTCTGAGGAGGACACCCCTCCACCTGACTCGGAGGCAGTGGGCTAATAACCCATTCTCCTTAAATATACACAATTTTGTAATGGTTATAGGCATGGGAAATGTCAAATGGACTTTAGACTAGGATATTGGAGAATTCTAATGTTATGCAGATCAAGAGAACTCCAAGTCATCCTGACAGAATTGGGCATTTACAGAGTCTACATATGCTTATTAAGAAGAAAAACAACAATATTCATTATAGTTGCCTGCAAAATAATCATGTTTAGAACTGAATACCTAGTTAGAGAGCGAAGGAGACACAAAGTTATTGGATTTTTCCTAATTAATGAATGACTTTGTACCATTTGTATCAAAAGAATATTTTATGATTATAGCCTTATTAGCTGTCATGCCCTTATGGAAGCATCAAGTGAAGAAGAGAATCAAAACTTCTACCTCAAGTTAGAAAGAGTCCACAATATATACCCTAGGAGTGACATGAAGTTCCTGTTGGGGGATTTTAATGCTAAAATCGGGAAGGAAAAAGTGTAAAGACGAACCATTGGTCTCCACAGTACCCAATATGAGGAGAGCACTGACAATAGAAAAAGGATCATAAATTTGTCTGCATCCTGAAACATGATTATTGGAAGCACAATATTCCCACAATGACAGATTCATAAAGCCATATGGAGACCATCTGACTATCAGACAGATTCAATCAGAAAGACCATCTGCTAATTAGCATGTGACATAAAACTAATCCGTTAAAGAACAGAGCATAGAGGGATGAAAATATAGATTCTGACCTTTATTTCATCATGGCTCGGGTCAGGGCAAGAATCTCTAGAGCAGAGATATGCTAATTAGCTTCACGAAAGAAGTGAAAGATAATAAAACTGAAAGAAGCTGATACATTTGTATCCTGTAAAAAATAACTTGAAGAAAGAACGGTGCATTTTGCATGGTCAATATGTAGAATATTCAAAATGGATGCAATTGTCTGGAAACAGTGATAACCTTGACAGCAAAGGCAGTCTTCGAATTTAAGAGGAAGCCTGAAAGGTAGTCCCTATGTTCAATGAAGAATGTAGGAGGGTAATTGAAGCAAACAACTTTTCTAATAGGTTGAGGTTTTTGAAGTGGTACACAAGGCTGGCCTGAGGTAGTGATGGCCGATTGTGTTAGAGCATTGCCCGTTCTAGCATCCTCGTGCCTAGTGATGCCAGTTCGAATCGGACCTGGGAGGGGTTGACATATATTTTTTGGCGGATCCAGAGAATGAAACTCAATCCTCCCACTCTGGTTAGTATAGGTTTGGTTGTACCTCTAAAACAACCTCTCCCCTCTTCCGTATGCCAGAAATGGCTGGTAGGAGATTGTCCAAAAAAAAAAGAAGAAAAAAATAAAAAGGTCTGGTGTCCAAAATATATAGAACAAAACAAGTTGAAAAAAGATTTCATAGAAAGATAAAGTGAGAATGGTAAGGTGAGAAATAGCTTGAAGAAGTAGAAACTCAGAGAAATACCAATAGGAATAAGGATATTTTTTTCAAAAAGTTAATAAGGAAAGGATTCCTTTTAGCCTGATACTTCAATCTTATAAAAACGAGGATGGCTCACTTTTCACTAATTAGGGAGTAGTTCTTGAAAGATGGTCTAGATATTTTAATGACCTCATGAATGAGGGAGCAGTTGAATCAGAGCAGATTTATTGGAACCACAACATTGGACATGATGATAGGGAAATAGAACCCCTTGAGCTTGAAGAGGAAAGAGCAGATCAACTATTGACTAAATCTTCATATTTTCTTGAAACTTTCTAGAAACAACTCATGAATATAAAATGCCAACTGATCATCGGTTTATTGATGTTAAGAGTACCTACTACACCATAAACAAGCTGCAAGAAGTCTTAGAAGACCTAAATATCTCCTCCGAACTAATTGTCTGATAAAAATGAAGGAAAGGAAGAGCTGGCTTGGAAATTGTTTAATGAAACTGATGTGGTTAGAATAAGAAAATTAGGAAGTTTAAGTTGGATAGGACACATAGCTCAGATGGAGAGATCAGAAAATTCTCATAAGAGTACTTGAGAAGCCATTACGCTATGCATGGAGAGCTGGTAGAGCGAAATTGAGATGGGCATATGCTGTGGCAGCTGACACGAAAGACCTGCTGGAAGTCAGAAAGTGGTCACATTAAACAGAAAAATACAACAGAAACTCATTGAAAAGGTCAAGACCCCCTGAGGGCTGTTAGAGCCAATAATATAGATAATGGTGATTAAATAATTGACTGTCCTGAATAATTAGGAGAAGAATAGTTGGGGTGATCAGTCAAATAAGAAAGCAAAATAAATATTATCATTTATTTTGCCTTCTTATTTGACTGATCACCCCAACTATTCTTCTCCTCAATATAGATAATGAATAGATAGATAGACATAATTTCATAATCATACAGATTTTCATATTTGATCAAGAAAGTGGAATAAAACTATTCAATAATTTTATGTAAATATTAAAAATAATGAATGAGCAAACACTAATAATTAAAAAAAATAAATCTTTAATGTTAATAGGCTAAAAGTAAATTGGGCTTCAAAATGTTATTATTTGTTTTTTTTTACTTCTAATACAGGGATTTAACTAGTTAAATTAAGTTTTATTTTAGGTAATAGGTGGAAGTGTAGCAGAGCTTGGTGGAGTGCAAGTTGGTGATTTGGTTCAAGAAATAAATGGGCAACAGACAAAGAATTTTACACATACAGATGCTCAAAATTGCATCGCTAAGGCACAAAATCACTTGAGGCTATTAGTATTGAGGTAATATTTTCATTTAAAAGTAAATATTTCCACTAAAGATTCATTAAAAAAAATTATGCTCAATTGGTTCAATAAATTTCTCATTTGATTATTTTAAAAATCAGCTATTTTGAAATGCCTGCGGCTAATTATAAGTTATGAGATTCTATTTTTTATTATTTTTTTTTTTTTTATAATACGACACCGTATATGTAGAAGAACATTTTTACAAATTGAGGTACGTATAAATTAAAATAAAGAAATCCTCTGAACAAAAACTTTTTTATATAGGACTTATTAACAAAGTTTTGTTCCTAACAAACATAACTTACTTTCAAAATCCAGAGAGAGAAATACTTTATTTAAAGCAGTGCTGCCCTACTGTATAGGGTTGATCGATACACAGCATACTCATCAATCCTTTTTTTTTTTTGGACATTGCACTTAAGTATACTTAATCATATGTTTATATATATACAAATTCTTTTTCATATTACACAGCACAAACAATATCAATACTATAATATACTAATACACACAATTACAATTATACAATATATGATATATACATATTTCGGTGAAACCGATACAAGACAATTTCTGAAATTTATAGGGCAAAAAAAAAAATATGGTATTTGAATGCTAGAGTTTTAAAACCAGAAAATTAGAACGCACACACAGCAAGTAACATAGTCCTATGAAAATAGAAAAAAAATATGATCACTTAAATCATATAAAATCGAATAAATAAATAATTAACGATAATCAACCGCTACTTACCATATATGTGATGATGAATGATCCCAAGGGAGTCCAGAATAATACCCTCGGCCAACACTGCAAGCTCCCCGACATCAACACCTAGTTCCTCGAAGAAGCTCCCTGTTCTTTTAGGAATCATTCCGTGAGACCCAAACCAGAGGCCTTTCACTGTGAATTCTCTCTCTCTCCGAAGGTCTCGCAGAATTTCTCTTTTAGGAAAGGGATGCATTTCTCGTAGATTTCCTTCTTTTCTCTTTCTACTTCATTGGCTTGATTGAGGCCATTGCTCTCATAGCGAACATTTGGAGCCAAGACCAGTGTTGCCTTTCCGGTCCTGGAGAATGCAACTATATCTGCGTTATAGTATAAAACATATAAAATAAAATGTTTTTGTTACCATTTTTAGTTTGTCAATGAAGTTAACAGAAAATAGACTATATTAGAATTATGAATAAGGTCCAGACCAAAGTAGTCTCAGTTATTAAGCTAAATTTTCATCCATTTCTAATTTCAAGTAAATAAACTAAATTATACCCTTGAATCATTTTCTAACAAATCTTTTACCCATGAATGTTTCAAGTTATATGTTTGCATAAAAATATTTCAACATTGCTAGTAATATTTCCTTTCCAATTTATAGAATTTCAATTGTTAAATTTCAATGAACATGAAAGAATTTTAAATTTCAAAAGAGCACATATCTAAAATACCATATTGTTACCTATACTGTTCAGATTTCAATTGGTAATTTTCTCTTAATATTTCTAAATGGTACCACTACATCATCAAGTTTTCTTAATGAATGGCATACAAGGTGTGAAAACTTCCCTTTTCGACTCTTCTATTATCAAATATTTTTCTCTGCAAATATTATTTTTCTACTTTTTAAAAGTTTCAATTTCTAGTAGTTTCATTGTAGAATATTTACACAAAATGGACCAGTGTCAGTTATATCACAAATATTAATGTAACATTGTTCTTTTTTTTATTCTTTTTTATTTGTTATCATTTTTTACAATTTTTTGCCAACAATATCAACTTTGTCTTCTAGTCCTCTACTATTGATGCATGTGCAAACTGCATTAAGTTTAAATGTGAGATTTAATGTCTGGAGGAAGTTAAAAAAAAACACAAAATGATTACAAATTGGCAAATTCACAAAGGAGGATCAAAATGTTTTATAATTAGATAAAGGAAACTCAATACGCTGAAAATACTTAGGTCATAGTTTTTGACTTGATTTTTTTATAACCTATGTTATGTCTTGATGGATTTGAGGAACCTCATCTTCTGGATGGAAGCACAGAGTGGAAAAGGATCAGTATAAAATGAATCCATCTTGATTCCATTACTTATGAAATTTTATTTGAGTATTGATAAGCTTCATTTTCTTTTATTAATTAAGCTTCAGTTTCTTTTGTTTTTTCAAAAGCTAACAAATCCATTTATTTTGAATTGTTACCAAAAGGCACATATCCAAAATAAGTATGGCCATGTGACCTACAATTTTTTATATCTATTTTTTTTTTATATGTATGATGATATTTTTTATGCCTATTATGTTAAATAATATATCTAGAAAATGAGGATTATCATATTATTAGTGTTCATATTTGTTTTTTGACCATATTGAAAAAATAAAATTAATTGTGAATGTTCGTTCCCTTTTGAAAGTAAGCCCTTGATACATAATATTCATTAAAATAATTATTCACTATTTTAATTAAAAACACAATTTTTTTCTGATCAGAGGAAGTTTGGTAACACCTCCTTTGACTCCATTACGAGGAATGGTAAGTCATAAGTTTATTTTCAATTAAACATTATTGTTTCTTAAATTCTTTTGCATACTATGAGATCTTTCTTCCAGACGCCAGAAATTGGATACACAGAAAATAGTCATTATCAGAACTCTATAAATAATGCAGATTTAAACGAACGATTAGCAAACTCAACAGGAGATGGTTTCAAAAATGCTCCTATCACGCAACAGAAGATAGGGAGTACTGCTACAATGTCAAAACCTAAATACAGTGTTAATGGTAAACCTACATAAATAAGCACAGATGCATGTGTTTATATAACTATATAAACATGTATTATCTGTATACAAATATAAAATTAATTTAACAATTTAAGTGGAAAGTTGTCCAAAACAATATTTATTTTAGAGAAAGGACAGCTTCTTGCTGGGGATAGGATCTTATCTGATGTTGAAATAGCTGAGCTTATAACAAGCAATGAAGAAGTTCTTGATGAAGGAGTCTTAGGGTATGGAGAAATTTTGCCATTATCTTTATGTTTAGTTAGATAACATTTACTAACTCATTATAAATAATATAGACATGTTCATAAGTCCTAAAGGAGATGTTTATTTATACAAGGTTTATGACTAAAGTTATTTTTACTCTCCCAGTTTACTCTCCCAAAAAGATTTTCTTTATTTTTATCTGTATCACTTTTATATCCCATCTTCAAATTGTACCTCATCTTTCTATCACCTAATTTTTTTTAAAAAGAATTGTCAGAATTTTTATTTTTATAAATGATCCCTTAGTTATATTGTGGACTCCTCCTGGGAAAGCCTAGTCAGACACTCTCTCTACAGTGTCTGACTAGGCTCTCGCTAGAGGAGTCCACAATATAACTAAGGGATGATTTGTAAAACTAAAAATTCTGACAATTCTTTTTTAAAAAAATTAGGTGATAGAGAGATGAGATACAATCTGAAGATGGGATATAAAAGCGATACCGAAACTTCATAAAAATAAAGAAAATTTTTTTGGGAGGGTAAACTGCTACTTAACTTTATTCATATACCGTATAATACAGACAACTAAATTTGAAATTATATGCAATTTTATACGTTTTTTTTCTTAAAGAATTTTGATGTGCAAAATAAATATGTTAATAAAATTAATTATTATAATTCAAAAACATTGAACTAAAGGTCCATAATGTAATTTCGCTTAACTTTAGAATTATTTTAATTTCATAATGGAAATATAAATCAGTTCCTAGCAATGATGGAACCTTAGTTCCTCCATACAGCTTTCAAATTGACTATTGCAAATTGAAACTAACTACCTTTATGAAATGATGTTTTAAAGTGATTCTTCAAGCACTTAAAAAAATTATAATTAAGTAATTACATGAACGTAATATATTTTTCATAAGACATGATTATATTTAATAGCTGTATATGTATTATAATTTTAAAAAATAAAACATATTGCGATTGTTTAAGTATTTAGATTTTTTTTTTTTTGAGAGTGCGGGACATTGGGACATGAACTCTAATTATCTTCTATCAGTGCTGTCCAAACACATTAGCCCGCTCGGCCTCAGTAGTATTAGTAGTAGTATTTAGGCATTTAGTGGGGGCGGGATGGCGGAATGGGCTAAAGCGTGTGCACAGCACCGCGAGTTGCCCGGCAACCAGATATATGAAGTTTTGAGAGACAAAAATAAGTACGTTTTCGGGTCCCGGTGCCGGAGGGGATTTTAAATTCCCCGCCCTCACCCTTTGGCTCGGGAAAATCCCATGTAGCCTAAATGGCGAGGTAGGGAAGAACAAAAAAAAAAAAGTATTTAGGCATTTAGATTACTTAAAGTAACAAATATAGACTAATGAAAAAATAATAATTTTTCCATTTTAGTTGGAGAGAAACTTCTTTCTGAAAGCCCCCTATTTATTACAGTGAAATAGAAAACAAAATGTTTTTGTAAGAATTTTTTTTTGAGAACTGAAAAATGCAATATATACTCTATTAAATTATCAGATTTCCAATTTTATTAGTTTATGATTAGTACTAAGTAAAATAATGTTGCAAAAGAATGTTTACTAATTGCAAACAATTCCTTATGTTTTTTTTTTTCAGGATTAATTTTAAAAAATTTCTTCCACAAGTTGACTTCATTAGAAAATCTGAAGTTTTTAAGGTAAAACCAAAATTAAATAAAGTATATAAAATCTTGATTTGCAGTTTTTTTTTCTTTGTTTCTTTTTTTCACCATCACATTTTACAGCTTTTACAAAATGAAAACACGAAGAAAGAGATACCAGAACATATTCAGCTGAAAAAAGATCCAAATAAGCGATTTTCAACATTCCTACAGAAACCAAGTATTCCAAAAGAATCACCAGGGGGTCCGAAGTTTCTTCATTTTAAGCCACCGAGATTTTTACCAAAACAACCAGAAAAAAAGTTTGAATGGCCAGTCCTGAAGCCTTGGCAAAGACCTAAAAAGCCAACTCCAGTAAGTGTTCAAGTCACTGATTGTTTTAATTTTAACCCGTTTACAGCTTGTTTTAAAATAATATTTAAGAAATATTATTTTAAAAATACATTATTTCAGTAATAATGTTTTTTATATACTTATGTATATTTTCAAACAAAAATATATTTAATACAATATTTGAAATTTAATTTAGTGGTTGGAAAAAAAAATATTCACAAATTTCATAGTTCTATTTAAACTTTTTTTGGATGTTTTGTTGTAGATAATAATTATTTAAGTCTAAGTTGATTTTTGATTTAATATATTATATTAGGGCTTAGTTTATCTGTTGGAACAATATTTAATATTACAGTTTTTTCATAAGACTTCTTCTTAAGATTCTTTTTGTTTTAAATACTAATTTTAATAAAATATAAAATTGAGTTGAGCATGCTTATAATATTTTTTTTTCAGGAGCCACCCGTACATTCAGTTTTATGGCTTTTCCTTGAAGAAAAAGGTGAAGAAATTATTGGAGGAAGATGGGGTTCAGATGCTGAAGAGAGAGAAAATTTGAGCAGAAACTCTTTTGTTGAATTCGATAGAGACTCGATGTGCAGTAGTATGAAGCTTCATGATGAGGACTCTGCTTCAGTTACAAGCAAGGAATTCGGACGAGAAAGCCAGATGTCAAGGATTGATGAATCATTAAATGAAACCGAAGAAGCATTAAATGGTACCGCTACAGCTCAAGCTGAATCTGATATACATGAAGATCAAAGTAAATTACAATATTCATGGTACATTGAACAACAAGAAGGAGATATCTCAGAAATCAGGGAATCCATGATGGAAGCTAACAAAGAAATCACAGATATTAAAAAAACCATTACTGATGAAAGGGATGATATTTACGATGACAGAGAAGAAATGCAATTTGAAGAGGTATCTTATATTATATTAAATTTTGTAATCATTGCTGGTTAGTATTTTAGTTTAATTGTGTAGATTTTACAGCCTCTTTCAATTTTTTGAATTATTACTCGCTTTTATTGGGTTCATTGTTGTCTGCTGCAGAAAATTTTATTAGTTGTCAGTTGAAAGATTAATGATATCTTTCTGATTTTTATCTAGCCTGTATGAATTGTAAAACCTTTTATGACACTTGTTAGGTACTTATTGCTTTATGAACTCAAATTCTAAAGTTAGCTGATTGTTAAATAAATTAAAAACAATAGTCACTTAGTGGGTGAAAGTTAAAATATATCTGGTCCCTTAAAGAATTGGAAGCAACATTTCAAATCAGGACAAGTAAATTCAAGTGCTGAAATAAAGGATTTTTTCTTCTTTTTTTAAAAATTCTAATATTAAAAAAGGCAAAAAAAAAAAAAGCAAACTTAAAAGAAAAATTGAAGTTGCTTACTTTTATAAAACATAGAGATTGTTCTATTTTGAATGATTTTTTTTTCTTATCTCACACCAATTTTAGTGATAATAATGCAACATTGTAAGCCTTTGAATTATTTTTCTCTGTTTTCAAAGAAACCAAACTATTAAGTTTTTATTGTATTAGCTTAATTACAGACTATGAAAAGCTGTCAAGCTGAGTATACTTGACAATATTGAAAAGTTTTAATGTACAATGACCTAAAACCTGTTTAAATGGTAAAAATTATAAAACTTTTAATTCAAATGGACCTATCTAATTAGTTATTTATATTTGATAAATAATTAGTTTTATAATTAAAAAAACAAATAATTACATTTAATCATTAATAGATTAAAGTTTAGACTTACCACAATATTCCCATACATATATTTCACCAATAAAAAATGTGTATAAAAAAAGTCCTTTTTTCTTTCTTTCTTTTTTTTAACAACAGTGGTATTGCACATGGGGAACTGTGTGTGTCACTGTGCCGATACAACTCTCTTTATTTCGTCGCATGCTTAAATATATAGGTATATATTTAGGAACAACAAAAACAGAGATTCTGTGATGCAGCCCTTTAAGCAGCTGCTCAACTTCTGATGTGGCTACACCTATTTATTCTTCTTTATTTATTTAATATATTAGAGTACTTTTAGGTAGAAAATTTTTTTTTGTTTTTCCTTTTGGTGCTTATATAAATGACTAAATTTAGTCCACTCACATGTTGCAATTGTCTATGTGCTTTGGTGATCGTCAGGACAAATAAAAGCCTCATCGAAAGCTGCTAAGATTTGAATTGATGTAGTGTATCTGTAAGAATCATTATATACATGACATTACTATATCTCAAAAACAATGTACAGTACAACAAGGACTAGAATAACCATAATAAGTTTGATCAAAATTTTAGCTGGTGGATGTCAAAAATATTTTTTCTATTTAATATGAAATGACCCCTAGGTAGTATCAACTAAACTGAAAAGACTGTAAGAATTTTTTTTCTTCTTAAACTTTGAAAAATAAAGTTTCAAATAAATTATAAAGTGAAGGAAGAGAACTCAGTTTTATAAAGTTTGGAAAGTTCGGTTTAAAAATTTTACAATGGCTGACACAAGTTTGTGAAACTATGTGCTGCCGAGAACCAAAATTAGAAATGACATAGGGTAGAAAATTATAGTATTTATTATTTTTAAAATTTCAAAAAATCAATGTTTTTTTCTTAAGTGATTTAATGTATTTATACTTTAGACATGTTTTAAAATATTTTTTGTTTTTTAAAACAGGGATACTATGCCGAGGACATAGAACAGAAAGTTACTGCAGATCAAGCCTACAATAAGAATGTGGTTAACAACGATTTGCTCAGTCAACTTTACCAGATTCAATACCAAATTGAGGCATTGGAAAATGAAGTAACAAATGATGTTCAAACACAGTTACATGCAGTTAAGGAACAGATATCAAAAATAGTTGATGCTAAGGCATCACATAGTAAAACATACCAGGTAAATCATCTAATTCATTTATGAAACCTAAATTAAACTATTAGGTCACTTTTTGATTAATATTATTTATTTTGTGCTTTGTGATGAATAGCTAAAGATATAATTTTTTTTTTCTTCCCCCCTACAGAAATTAGGCAATCCTTTTATTCATACCTGTACCACTACAACCCATGAAGGGTCTGAGGTTCAGTACTATTTAGGGAAAGTACTGTTTCTAGGTCAACGGCTGTGCAAGGAGGTGATTTGACAGAGATCATGCTCAACCGCCAGGTTTTCCCCCCTTAATTAATTATTTAATTAAGGGTACCCAGTTTATAGAGGCTGGGTGTGCCCCAGGAGGGACTCTCAACCCAGGGTCGTCCCACGGCCAATGAAACAGATAAATAAATTTTCTGCCATGGCCGGGGTTCGAACTCAGGACCTTTGCATCGGAAGCTCAGTGCCCTACCACTGAGCTACCCCGCTCCCCTTTTATTCATACAGGATATTAAAAATGCTTTTAGAATCAAAAATATACACTCATATTTTATGTTTTAGATATCAAGAAATAAATTTGGTTTCATGTATGTCTGTCTATCCAAAGCCAAATCCATTTGATAGGCATATCACGTATTATTGTTAAACCGATTTTGATAAAATTGTTATTACATCAACACAATTATAGACATATCCATTTTATCAAATTCTATCTACTAATTTCTCTTATCGATTCTCTTTGGCATGCCTTTGATTCAACAACAGCACGTCTGATTCATATCAAAGTTAGTTATTGTTGTAGAAATGTTCCTGTATCAATTTTAACAACTTCTATTATTATAGTTTTTGGGCAACTTTGTAATGGGAATAATAGACCTGAGAACTTATTTTATTAATAATTTACTCACTATACTTTAATGGTTTCTACAACCCGGGGTGAGTTCTGGCCTCTTCTAAGAGCTTCGGCCATCCAGCTCGGTATCTCACCGTGACCTTTCAGTTCTGTTCTTGAATTATCGTCCTCGAGTCTGCAGCCACAAAATCGATCCATCTAAATATGGATCTTCCTCTTCTCCTAGTTCGGTTCTCCACCTTCTCCATTATTTACCTGGGTAAGCTCTACTCAGCCATGCGTGCCATGTGTCCTGCCCAACTGAGCCTACCCACTTTCATGAACATACTACATCAATGTCTCCGTACTAGTTCATGGTTCTTCCTTCTTCTCCATACTTCCCCCTTTCTAACCAGGTAGTATGATCTTCTTGATATTTTTCTTTCAACAATTAGGAGCCCCTTCTCATCTGGCTTAGTTAGAGTCCAGGCTTGGGAAGTGTAAGTAAGAATTGGTCTTACCAGAGTCTTATGAAGTGATGCTTTTGTTCCTCTAGAGAGCAGGCAGCTCTTCATCTGTTTTGTGAGCCCAAAATAGCACTGTTTTTTTAATTATTTTTTTATTTTAATACACCCTACCCACCATTTCTGACATATGGGCGGATTTGTTCTAGGGGCACAAACAAACTTTTCTTACCAGAGTGGGAGGGAGGGTCGAGTTCCGTTCCATGGGTCTACCACGTAATAAAAGTCAACTCCTCTCAGGCTGGATTTGAACCCATTCTAGCATACTCCGCTAAGCATGAGTATGCTAGAATGGGTAACGCTCCAGCACACTCGGCCATCGCAATCTCAAATAGGTTGCACCAGTCGGCTGCCTTGATTCGCCTACTGATTTTGAGGGTTATGGTTGTTGGATGAGGTGACAAGCATTCCCAGATACATGAAATTTGGGATCCTTTCAAATGAGAAGTTTTTTATTGTGAGAGCTGCATTGTTCACTTGGAAGTCCTCACCAGCATGTACCAGCATGCATTTGATTTTGGTCCCGTTTATCAGTAGACCAAGATTCAGTGCAGCCGACTGAAGAGCAAGAAAGGTGTCCTTCATAGGTTTCCTTGACCTTGTCAGTATGTCCACATTGCCTGAGAAGACCAATAGTTGAACACTTTGATGGAGGATGATTCATGAGGTCTTTAGTCCTGAATCTTGTACCACCGTTTTCAGGGCCAGTATGGAAAGCAAACATGTCAATCCATCACCTTGGCACATTAGACATTTTACTGTCCAAAACTCTCTTGAGTAATCTACTTGAACTGTGACCATGCTGCAGATTCAATCCATAGTCATCTTTACCAGTCCGGTCAGTTTTTTAGGGATCCCTTGTCAAATAGAGCTTTATATAGGTTTCTTAATTGACACTATTATAAGTGTACTTAAAATCCAGTAATAAATTTTGGTTTGACAATTTGAACTCTATTTCTTTCTCCATTATCATTCTCAAAGTGAAAACTTAGTCAATAGTGGACCTTCATTTCCTGTCTGTTATTCCTCAACCATTTGCTGAGCATAGGGGGAAAATGTGTCATGTAGAATAACAGAGAGGACTTTGTAGGCACTAAGAGGAGGGTAATTTGTACATATTATGTGATCTCCTTTCTTGTGAATTGGACATATCGTTCCCTTTTTCTATTCTCCTGGTAGCTGCACATCATTTCATACTCAGAGTACGATATTGTATAGCTCCTTGTGTAGTTCTTCCCTGCCATACTTGACTTCTGTAGGTATCTCATCTGCTCCTGGGCACTTGTGATTTTTCAATCGGCCAACAGCCTCAATCAACTCTTCTGGATTTGGGGGAGCTTTAAGATCTTCTTTTTCCTTTCAGGCCCAACTTCTTCTCTGAGGCTGTTTCATTTCCCTCATTTAGAAGAGCCTTGAAATGTTTACGCTCTGAAAGAACAGCTGGCTTTCATGTACACTCCTCCCTTCTTCAATATTCTCCAGTTTCATCCTTTCCCAGGTCTTTTTCTTTCCTGGGTACAATTTTTCTCCTCCCTTCTACATCTTTTGTATTCCTCCATTACCTGCCTGGTATACCTTCACTGCAACATTCTCCTATATGCTTCATTTTTGTTCCTGAGACCCTCCAGCATTCTTCCTTATATCATCCTCCTCTAGCCTCTCTTTCATTCTCTCCCATTACTGCTTTCTTAATTGCTTCCTTTACGACCAATCATTCCTCATCATTGCTCGATCGTTCCTACAACAAACGGTATGCTTAGCTTATCTATTCCTTGACTTGCTCCTAGTACGTCAGACACACATCCAGAACCTTGAGTTTGTCAGTGTCCAGGCATCTGCTTCTGTCTTTTCTTGCTTCATGGCTGTTGGAGATCCTTGCCCTAATCTTGGATATCACCAAGAAGTGGTCCGAGTTCATATTAATAATTTGCAAATTTTAAAATTATTTGTTTTAATTTTCACCATATTTTTATTTTTACGACATATGTAACATTTCTGCTTTTACACTCAAATGTACTCAGGCCTATTAATTATTGTATAGTACAACTACATAGATATATTTTTACTTATAATTACAATGCAAAGTTAGTTCTTTCATTTTAATCATAATTTAAACCATAGGTTGAAGAAGAACAGTTTGAAGCCCAATTTAAAGGAAATTTGAAAACAGGAGAAAAAACAATGCATTATGAGACACTAAATGCACCTAATGGCAAAGAAATACGTGGAGTGGTAGGAAATAAAGAAATTATATCTCGGAATAGTGCTATTCATGAGGAATCCAGTAGAACAGTTCAGGAAAATGTTAAATCAGATGTGGTTTCATCTGAATCTGTTAATAAAAAAGGCAATATCACAGAAACAGTTGAAGAAACTATAGAAACCTTTGAAGCTGAGATAAGCGAGCACCAAGAGTATGAGACTACTCAAGTAGAAATTGAAGGTTTTAAGGTATATGTTCAAGCTAGCATTTAAAAATAAAATGAAATCCTATGTTTATCTAATAAATTTTATTTATTTAAATATATACAACTGTATTTAATTAGGAAAACTATTGTTAATGTGTTAATTTGTCTAATAAAGGAAATCAAATTCATGATTTGTTAATAATGTTCTCTATATAAAAATTTATCGACTTACATAGTGATGTATAGAAAGTAATAAGGAACATAATTTATATGTTACAAAAATTAATGTTTATTAATTTAATAGTTTTAAAAATAAAATCATGTAATAAAATGACACTTGATATGTTCTAATCTTGTGTTAATAAATCCTTAAAACAGTATTATGTATTGGCTTTATGTTAATAGTAAAAATCATGTCTAAAATAAAATGTAAATATATGTCTTAAAACCAGCCAGATTCATAACCTTCACCAAGACAATTTTTTTTTTTTACTTGGTTTTCTTATTAGACTAATCAAAATTAAATTATCGATGCCAAATGAATTTTTATTTTAACTATCTTAATTACTGCCACCGATTTATTGTTATTAATTCTTCAATTATCTTATGTATTTTAATTGCCATTGAAATACACCAAAATAATTAATGAAACATGATACAAGAGTAAAAATTACTTACTGTACTAACAATAAGTTAAGGATAGTAACAGTTGTAATTTTAAATTATACAAAATCTTACTCAATAGAATATTATAATATTATTACAGTAATTACAATACTTAAATAGGGATTCATTTTACTTTTGAAATATCACATTAGCATTTGTGTTAATTTTCTAATTTTAAATAATTGTATTTCAATCCTAAAAATGTCTTTAAACAAACTTGGAGCATGTTTAAACAATCTAATATACATACAGAGGATTTTATAACATTTTTATATTAAACATACCATTTAAGCTTACAATGGTACAAATAATTACAATTACTTTGTTATTGCTTTTTGTTTTGTGGTATATCATTCTTTTCAATTAATCTTGGTTAATTTTTTTTTTAATAAACATGAAAATATTAACATTTGGAAACAGATCATCCTCATTATTATTCATTATATCTGATTATTTTATAATAAGAGACAATTTAACCTTAATATTGTTCATAAATTGAGAATTGCATCAATTTTCAGTATTTCCTAGGAATCCGAAATTTGTATTTTTTTTAACAGGGTTATCAATATGAAATTATGGAAGCTCCAGATCCTGATGTGGAAGTAATAACTATACCGATTAAGAAAAAAATTTTGCCTATAACACCACAACGGCGCCCAATAGTTCTTCCAGGAGGAAGAATGTGGAGGAATCCTAAAGATGCAGAACATGAAGAATTCTATCAGGGAATTTTAGTCGCACAGGCTGATGTTCTTGTTGGTTCAACTGAAAAGTAAGTAATATTTTGAGATTTTTCAGATGATCTATTGACTAATGATCTTTCGCCTTTATTATTATAAAACCTAAAAATTTGGCTATACATTTAACTTTTCTTACTAGAACAAGATTCGAAAATATTTTATCATTTAAGTACAAAATTTTATACTCTAGGTTTTACAAAATCTTTTTACATAAAATGAGCCATTTAAATTTTATTATAAACTCTATACATTAAAATTATTTTATACAATGTTCAGCTTCATTAGTCCACAATGTAAATTTTCATTTTTTTTTTTTTTTTTTTGTGACTGAAGATTGATTATAAAGTAAGTATATGAGTAGTTTATAGAATATTTTTAATTTTTAGTAGTTTAGGTACAGTATAATTATGTGTTTTATATTATCATGTGGTATACATAACAGTTGATGATTTAGGTGCAAATTATAAGATTTAGATTTAAATACATACATGGTTTTGAAATTTCCAAGATATTTAATAACTTATTTTAGAGAATAATTAAAAAATAATATGAATACTATAATGCAAATAATAAAATAATCTATAGTTTAAGCTAAAATATTGTTTCAGTGTGAACTACACAAAGTACATGCCTCCAAAAATTGATATGTCAACCTCTGAAGTATACCGTTTGATCCATGAAGCTGAAGATCCAATTAAAAAGAAAAATGAAGAACAGATTCTCAAAGAGAAGAACTATTGTGAACCTGTAAGTATAAACAACTGTCTTTTAATTTTTAATTTTTTTTATGTACCCCCTATCTCGCCATTTCAGACATAAGAAGGAAGGAGGAAAATAGTCTAGAGGTGTAATCAAACTTATTCTAACCAGATCGGGAAGGTCAAGATTTATTCTGTGGGACCATCACAAAATAAATGTCAACCCGTGTTTTCCTTGATAGGTCTATATCTCTAAAACCGCACGTTTGAATTGACTCAAATTTGGAGAAAAGTTATGGATTTGTTAACATATAATTAAGTGAATATCAATTTTATATATTTCGATCCACTACTCTAAAAAAAAAAAATACTTCCCCTTTCGGATCAGTCAAATATATTATTTGACACGCCTCTAGTCTAAAAACTGCTCGTTCAATTTGACAAAAACTTGGAGAACATTATTGAAATTGCATAGTATGAATTTCATTGAATTCCATTTAATAATTAAAATTACTATAAATAACTGTTAACAGTATAATGACTGTGAAATTTGGAAGGCATTAATCATGTGTAATGGGGATTAGGGAATGTCCAAGATCAATAAAACTACCAAGTACCAGAAATGTGTGGTGGTGGAACTTGAAACGTGATGTAAGGACTCGACCTACCTATTATTCTTTCAAACCTACCAATGAAGGTTTATTTCGACATCATTGTGCTTTTTTTTTTGCTTCTTTTTTTGTTTAATTTATTGAAAAGAATACTTTTCTATGTTTTTGATGTTTGATTGAAGATAATTTCAAGTAGATAAATAAATAAATACGACTAGCAATCTAGAATAAAATGGTATGAAAATTATAGGCTAGATCTGAAACGAAAAGAATGAAATTGATATTAAGATTTTTTTAAAATTATTTATTTCAAAGTCATATACTGAACAAAATCTACAAATATATTACATTAACAGAAAAAACGAAGATCTATACTTATTTAGAGAAACAAAACAGCATTGTAACACAATTTTTGTTTAATTTTGTTGGTAGAAATCGCGATTATTTCTTTTAATAATATAACAATATTATAAGGATGAAAATAATTATCAGAATTTGCAATCAAAATTTCTTTAAATAAAAATATTTATAAAAAAGTTAAATGATTTAAAAAATAAACAAATTTTTACTGCAAATCCTGATAGAATTCCTATAACTTTAGATTACATATTGCAAATATTTTATATTACACCAATTAAGAAAACATAAAGGGCACCTTACACGGTCAATATTGAGTATATATATATATATATATATATATATATATATATATATATATATATATATATATATATGGCTACATTGGCATCAATTATATTGAGGTCAATCAAACTGGTTGATATCAAATTTTTAAAATTTTGATTGAACCTCCTTCAATATTATTCAAACAGTATCAATATAATTGCTCGCGTAAGGGCTATATTGAGCAATATTAAATCATTATCACTGGGCAATACCAAATTTCTAGTGTCCCTCTTGGCAATATGTTTGAGTAGGGGGATGATACTATGTTTTAATATATATATTTTTTGAAGGGGGTTAACTCTTCCCCCACCCGAATATTTTTTAAAACAAGTAAAATAGCAATATGTTTGGGTAGGCGGGTGATACTTTGTTTTACCTTTGTTATTTTTTTGGGAGGGAGGGGTGGGGGAGTTAACCCTCCTCCAAATTTTTTTAAAAGATAAAATGGCAATATTTTTGGGTAGGTGGATGAAACTTTGTTTTAACAAGTAATGCAATCTGCAAATGCGGAACTCTTTCTCATTTCAGTATTCACTAATGAACAAAACTCGAGGATATCAAATACGTATATGTTGAGAGATTACTGAATTTCCGAAAATGCTTTCTCTCAGAGATTTTATTCTCATACGAAAAAATTTAGTTCTCATAATAAAAATATTTTGTAGCTAATGAAAAAGGTGAGGAAGCTATACTGATCTTATTTGGCAGACGTATTTTAATTGAAAAGTTGTGTTAGGTTACACAATTCACTTATTTATATTAATCCATATAATTTTAATTTTTTAATAAATGATTATATTATGATTTTAGATTAGTAAACGTCATTTCTATGCAGCAACTTTAAAAGAACCAGTAAGTTTTTCTTAAACATTATTTATGTAACTATTTTGTAAATGTTAGTAAAATTATTCATATTGATTTTTTCCAGGATCCGATAGGAGTAGTTGAACTCTCTGATTTATGATTTTAAAATAACCTAAGGACATTGCATATTCTCTCAAAATAAATAAAGGGAATATGAGGCCTAAATTACGAAAAATATATTTTGAATTGAGAAATCTTTTCCACTTTAGATACATTTTTAATTGTAAGTGGTGTGGACAAATGAATTCACATTTAATGAAAACAAATATAACCTGTTAACACTGGGAACATAATCAAATACTGTTGAATAAATGTCAACAATTTAATTTGACCAGTATAAAAAAAGTTCTTGTAAGATTCATTTCTTTTCTTTTTTACATGAATAAAACTTAACTAGATATTATTAAAGACTTAAATTAAACATTACATCTTCCATGTATTTTTTGGTGATTTATTTTTATAATCCTTTTAAATTAATTAGTTTAAATTAATCTAAGATTATATTCAATATGGATCATCAAATTCCAAATACATTGTGACCATAAATTGATCAGAAGGAATGGAGGAAGAATGAGGGAATAGGAATGGAGAGAAAATTTGATGAGTGGGAATGGCCTTTAATTTACAGACACAATATACTTATTTGATTATTTTTTTAAGTAAGAGTAAATCAAGGAAGACTTATTCGACTTCTATGAAGGGAAGAAGATTGAGATGAAGACCTGCAATCTCCTTGAAAGGAAACTAGCAAGATGTATTTCCAAAAGTAAGGAGTGAAATAGATTAGGAGACTGGGGCTGTTGCAGGAGAGGTCTACATGGTCTTTACTCTGCAAAAGACAACCTCACACTGTTTAAGCTGTAAAGAGGAAATAAACTATGATGATGATGATGATAAATTAATGAATTAAATTAATAAATTAATTGAAAATAACTAATTTTTCTGATTTAAATTTTGTATAATAAATAAAGAAAAGAAAGTAAGCGTTCAGAATCGAAATGGTCTATACTAGAGCTGAAACTAATATGAAAAAATTAGTACATGTTTCATATAGCCTGACCAAGAGTTTTTTATAGGTATGTTTATCCTCTTCTTCTTCTTTTATTCTTTTAGGATAGCCATTAGCTCTTTGTTTGGTATAATTCCACCTCAACTATTAAAATAAAAGATTTTCAAACAGATATTTTGACATAATTCTGTTTTATTAAAACTATCACTTACTATTAACACTTAATCAATATTTACTCATTAGATTTCTAAATCAGAAATTGTATTCAGATTAAAATTTTTTATATCAACTGTTCAAGATTATGAATCAAAATTATTTAGGTTTCAATGGCAAATTTAAATTTTCACACATTTCCAGTTAGTACTAAAAAAAAAAATCTTATAATTATATTACAATAGAAATAATAGCTTAATCTGGTATAGTTATAAAAGTTATAACCACAAAAATACTCCATATTAATAACAACTTGGGACATAAGCTTGAAAGGATCTCTTTATGCTGTCCTGAATAACCTCAAAAGCAAGTTAAGAAAATGCAGAGGTGTATTTACAGAGGAGGGAGGGAGGCTTTCGGGTTGAAGCCTCTCTCCCTATCCCCAAAAAATGGTAAAATGTAATCATGTTTTCTGGAAAAAAATGATCTCTTAAAGTGTTATTGTTCGTGTAATTACATTTAATAAGAAATCGAGAATCACTTAAACACCATTTCATCAAGGTAGTTAGTATCTTTCTTTCTTTTTCCAAATTAATTATTGTTATATATATGAAAAATAAACTTTCAGACTGAAGCCACCCTCCTGCCCTCCAAAAATTAAATTCTGGATCCGTTAGTGAGAGAATGTACTCATTGGTACTAGGCTCTACCCATCAAGTCTCACAAATCATATTTTTTTATCTATCTCGACACATTCTCTAATCGTTTTTATTTTAAATTATATGAATTTAGAAAATTAATTTTGAAAAATAAATAATTTTATTCAAATGGTTGTGTATTGATGGTTGACTGTTGTGAATAATTGAAGAGAAGAATGGTTGGAATGATCAGTCAAAAAAGAAAAGTAAAAATAAATAAATATGTTTATTAAGCTCTATTTATTTATTTATAATTAGACATTATAATTTATTTATTAATTTAAATATATATACTTATTTATTTTATTTTTTGACTGATCACCCCAACCATTCTTCTCTTCAATTATTTAAATGCTTTGGGTCAAGTTCCCATGTTATATATTTCAGACATTTATTAATTCCATGAACTAGTCCTTTGTCCAGTCATAAAATTCATGACAATCTCATATGATTGTTTAACTAGCATGAACATAATATAAATTAATCGAACGTTGCCGTTAAAATAAATAAATAATAATCGAAACATTGACAATAATCTAACATGTAATAGGTAAACTTGTAGTATTATGGAATGTATTTAGATAATTTAATTTTCATATTATATTTTCTACATATGACACTAATTCAGTTATGAAAAGCTCAAGTAAACTTAAATCAACTATTTAATTCTTAATTGTATTGTAGCAGTTTGCAAAGACATGGACACTAATGAAACAAAAGACATTACTCTAAGGAGAAATAATACAACTTATATTTTATGATGTTAAATTTTATCTCACATACTTCATATGAATAAATGATGGTAATGGAATGTTACCTCAAAAATAAGTGTGGACCATTTTGTAATAGCTGTATTATGATTGACACAGAAACTTGTTTCATAAAATACTTTTACAAATTTTTCTTTATAAGGTGGTTTTACATTGATTCAAATTGTTTTTATCTATTTACAAGTATTAATTTTTAAGTTGTTGTCTAAATGAATCTTTAATTATGTTATAATTCGATTTATATTTATTACAATAAAGTATTATCTATATAAATAAAATAAAGGTTTTGTCTGTACATTGAATAGAACCAACCCGTTTCATGATATCTTTCCATTTCATACATTTCAGACACCAAATCCACTTTTTAAAAAATTTGTTGTCTGTCTGTATGTCCACATTGTCCAACGAAATTTTGTCAGGGGTAAGCTCAGCAATGGCTAATGGTTGACTTTAAAATTTTGACATTATATTTAGGTTTGCTTGACTTAAAACATAGGCTATAAATAAAAACAAAATATTGAGTAGAACCAAAGTTATGAATTCTTGAGTAATTTGTCTAGAGATCTCGGTTAGGCAGTTACTTACATAGATTCTCATCCTAACCTACTGTACCGTAAGCGACATTTAAAAGTTGTATCATTCAACTGATGGAAAAATTAGCACAGCTCAACAGGAAAAATCCGAAATCCCGAACATCTGTGATGCGTTGTCACTTAAAACACACTAATTTTTCAACTTTGTCCGATCTCCCCGTTCAAGGTGCCATTCGATTCAACTTCCCGAGCCTAACAAATGTTGTATACATATTTAGGATTAACCAAATGGATTAATTTCAAATTGGAAAAAAAACTCCCATAAATTTCACCCCGCCCGCCATAATATTCAAATCAAGTTCTAATTTTACACATATGTAGGTGACTCAATGTCTAATGTTATTTTGTTTATGTTGCCAGAGATAAACTTAGCAAAGTTTAAAAAAGTGGAGAGACTACAACTCTATTTGATTATTTAAATTGACTCCACAATCTCCTCGCTACAAACTAAACAAATGCTACAAAACTTTATGAAATAATGTTATATATATATATTTATGTTTTTGTCCATAAATTGATAAAAAAAAATTAACAAAAAACAATGTAAACATACTGGCAAATTCCTATTGGTGAAGATTAAAGAAAATTTGTTTCTTTTAATTATATATAACTTGTACATCCATAATAAAAATATGCAACTCATTTGTTAAAGAAGCTCAATAACTTGCTGAATAAAAACAGATGTCCAAGAAATACCTTATTATTTAAAACCATTTTTTATAGATCTTTTAGTTATTGTATTTTTAACAATTTTTTCCTCAGCATAATTTGATTTTTTTTTTTTAAATCATACACTTCTTTCAATAAAAACTATGTTTAAAAATGACTATATCATGTTTAATATTAACGGTTTTGTACTATTGCAGGACATTAATTTAAACACCATATAATTAAGTAGAAAGCAAATGATTGTAGTAAAATGTTATCACTGATTTTTTTTAGTAAGTATGACAATCAATCAAACACAAGATTACTACAACTTGCATGAGTTCTTTCTCTTAAAAAGCTCATTTCACAACTAGAATGTCATTTATAGATCTTTTATTTATCTGTTGCCTCAAGCCGTGGCCCATGGGACTTATTGGAGGTGTCAATGTGGCCCGTTTGACTTAAGGGGACTCTCAATGTGGGCAGTGGCCCAAAAAGATTGGATACTCCTGGTCTCCGAAAAACCATAGATTAATAATGGCAGGAGAGGTGATAGATTTTCGCTTATTTTTTTTTTTATTAATATCTCAAATTTTTAATTACTGTTATACTTATAGTTTGTCACACCTTTAGTTTTTCGCAGAAATTTAAGAAAATGCTTAATATGAAGTATTTTGTGTATCAGAGAGTAGGTTGTGTAATTCTTAGTGGAATAACGTTTCTCTGAAAGGTACACCTTCAACTCAATATGCGTGTACAGAATTATACAAGAAATGGCAATATTATTATCTGGTTATAGATTCAGGAGGAAAAGTCAGCAAATTTCTTGAATCTGAAAAAGTTAGGGTATCTCAAAAAAAAAATAAACATGAAGTCAAGGAATTTTTTAAGTTATGGGAGACAACACTAATTTGGTATGATGATTCAGAATCATTTTTGGTCACAAAAAGGTTTTATACAAGTATATACATGGTATGTCTAACATGTTATGCTGTTCTCAAAGATTTTTCCTGGTAAACAATTATTTTATTTTTTCAGTAATTGGTTGTTGTTTATGGTACTAACACTACTCATTAAGGAAAGTATTCTAATAGGGTCTGCATCTCCATGAGTCCGAAAAATGCATTATCAGTAGTTGGTGTTCGTGCCTGTGGGGAGAAGGACGAGAGAGAAAGGGCTGACGCTATTTATAATCTGAAGATTTGCCAAACATTACCTGAAAAGTCAGGAAATTCCTTTTAAAAGTTTTAGTAGACACTCTTGTTGTATTAGTAGGACACATCATATCCAATAATTATTTTACTTGGTAAGTTTCAAAAGTTTCTCATATTACATAATATAAGCAGATAAAAAGATGATCTGTGTCTATCTTATGGAATTCAACTTAAATAAAAATTAAATTAAACTGTACTTTTACAAAATGTTAATTATTTCAACCAACATTTTTTGTTATATTGAATACTCAATAGTTGACTGAAGTATATTGATGATTGTCAGAATTAGGGGTCACAAAAAAACTTAAAATAGTGAATACTACTTTATTAAGCCAATGTTTTGACCCAACTATGCAGGTCTTCATCAGGCCTATGGTCAGTAAGGGCTTCTGTGCAGGGCTGTCGGCTTAATGAAATAGTGGAAACTATTTTAAGTTTTTTTTTATGACCGCCACACCGGACCACTTCTTTCTACACTCTTAATGTGGATTATTCCTCTTTAATGTTTGATTTAACCTGATGATATTAAACTAGTTTGACCTTTTTCTTTTGTACCACTCTGTTGTGCCTATCAGTGTAGGGAAACGTTTAGCCAGGATTGTCCCTGTTCTCTGTTTCTTGCCGGGTTCCTAGCATGACTAAATATTTTTTATGGGTATTAAATATGTTAGTAAATTATTAATTTTTAGTTAAACTATTAATTTAATTTTTAAAGAATTACAATTGAAGTGGATGTTTCAAAATGAAAAATATCTGTGGACCACAAAAGAATGGTTGTAGAGGGGGTTAGCCGAACAGAATTGTGTCACTGTAAACCCTCAGCTTTTGCCAGTTTGCACCTTACACTCTATTCGAAGTTCTTTGTTATACTAACTAAATAAAAACTTCAAATCTGAGCTTGTATATTCCATTATCTATAAATTCTGCTACTTGAAAAATCAGAATGTAAATCTTATATGATATATAATATACAGTATGCTCTTTGGACTGCATTCCAGATGTTGTAAGAATTATGAATTAATCAATCCAGTTAACACATGGATATTCACCAATGCTATATGACTATTCCAGGATAGTTAATATTATATGACAAATAGTAGTTCAATAAGACTTCAGTACACTTATGCCAAGAAAAGACCCACCAATAGTGAAAGTAGTAATGGTCATTACCATTTTGTGAAGAATTTCAAAGGTTTCTATATTATGTAACTAATATAATTTTGTATCTATATGTGATGCCATTTAAGATTTTATCAAAGGAAAGCTTCACAGTAGCTTTATTCAGATTGGAAAATTGGTAGGAAAAATAAAAATTACACTGCTGTTTTATCACATATACCTTTTTATTTTTTACACTTGTCAGTTCAAATAAATTAATCTCGCATCATACATTACATTATATTAAATAAAATTCATATCATAGAAACAACATAATCTCAACGTTACACTAAAATAATCGTTTGGAACACACATTCTAAGTTATTATATGCTTTATTTTACATTAACAAATTATTGATAGCTGCTTAATTCTGGCCAAATGTGATAAATGTCTCTTGGCCTGTTTCTCTGATATTTTGGAGGCTTGTGCTGTTCTTGGATATTTTGGCCAATTGTTTCAATCGGTTGTATAGCACTAAGCCTTGGTGGGTGGTTGTCTATTGAACCTCCCTCTGGTTCAATTACTGATGTTCTGGGAGGGTGATAAGTTGGATATCTTTGATGATTGCCTGATACTTTAGCTCTGCAACATAAATACAATATAAATACATGCAAGTACACACAGAATACATATGATTCCTACTGCAGGTCTGTTTAATATTATAAAAATTAGGTAATTCTAAATAGATCTAATTTTGGGTATTGTTCTCACTTTCTGATCAACTCTTTAATTCGTCACTTAATCAAACAAGACATGTTTAAATAAAATACTCTACTTGATCATAATTTATCTGTCTTTTATACTATTTATGGGATGTAGATTGTGTACCAAAATCAGAGGAAAGGGAAAAACAAATATAGCTCTAAGTCTTAAAAGAAACTTAATTGACCAAGATATAGACAGTTAGTTAATGACCACTTATGTATTAATATTTTGGAGTATGCCTGTGCATAAAAAAATTAGAAAGTCTAGGATTAATCATAACTATTAAATGTTTACTAGTTTTGATTATGCGCAAGTATTTAATAACCACAACTTATTATTCTTACATTGATGACAATTGTAGTCAACAGATTTTATTTATTAACATACTTTAGTATGGATTTACGGAGTATTATGAATCAAATATAACTGAAAAAAAAAAATTATTTTTTTGAAGTTGAAAATCACTTTTTGATGTAATACATGTGGTATTTTCTGTATGAGATAGAGAACTGTTTTTGAAATTTAAATTTTTTTATCATAAAGTTTAACCTAAAATAATTTATTATAATTTTGTAATATTTGTAGAAAAGGAAGGCACCTGTAACCCAAATGGTCTGCCACATATTCTACTACTTTTACATTTCCATCTGGTTCCACCAAACCGTAGCTACCAACAACAGTTCCATTTGCATACTTTTCTTCCACTCTATATTGAATATTACCACTTTTTGCATCTTCTAGGTCAAATCCAAAAGTATACGTACCAGGTCCCTATAAAAAATATAATTTAATTTTTAAATACCTCATTTGTTAATCAATGTGAAACTATTAATGCCAAGTTTATTTATTTATTAATTAATATGTTTTGGGCTGCTCAACCACTTGGGTTATTTTTGCCCTATATTAAAATTGGATCAACTACTACAAAGGCATACATAACAAAACTACAGCTAACAAATACAATTTAAAGCTAAGAAAGTTAAAAATAGTCACAGTTGAATATGATGGTACTATTGAATTAAAGATATAAAAATTGAAAGTTAAACATTAAAAGACGATAAGTTAACAAGGAAAATTAAAATAAAGGTTAATGATTTTAAGAATAAAAGCTAAAAATGTGTTTTAAAATTGAAAATTGATATTAAAAGAAGAAAAGTTAAAGAGTATAGCTTAAATATTACAAAAAGAAAAGTTAACAAAAAACATTAAAACTAAATATTAAAGATTAAAAGAAGAAACATTAACAGGTATATTTACAATTTGAAGAAAAAGCTACAAACTTAAAAAACGTAACAGGTATATTTACAATTACAAGATGTGATTAAATTTTGTACAAGTGGTTCCAATTTTGTGATCAAATTTTGTGAAATGTTTTGATTTCCTTAAAGAACAATATTAAGTTTTTAATAGCATTGGGGTCCTTTTGGAATGATTCTTCAAGGTTATTTCTGAGAAGATGTTGGTCCCTAAGAAATTTGAATGCATAATATTCAGTTAAGATATGGCTCACTGTGAGAGGTACCCCACAGGAAATACATTGAGTTGGAGAGTCTTAACTCATTAAATACTCCTGGGTAAGCCTACTATGTCCGATCCTTAGACGAGTCAGTACCACTTCTTCCCTTTTGGTCAGCAGAATATTTGGAATGACTCTCTGAAAGTATGGCTCCACAACCCTTATCTTATTGTCTCTTGTGGCAGACCAAGTTCTTTGGCAGTTTTGAGAAAAGCGGCCCTGTATCGATATACTAAAGATAATTAATTTTTTCATATTTTGTGATACCTCACCTTGCTTACACAATTGCTTGTTTTCTTCTCAGTCTGTTGCTTATAAATTATAAATTATAAATCCTTTACTGTTCAAAGTTTCGACTCTTGCACGATCTATACTCTGCAGCTGCCCTGAGGTCCACAGTGTGAATGTTCAAGATTAACAGGAAGGTTTGAAGGAGACCCTTTGATAAACCTCCCTAGTTCATTCACAGTATTTCAGTAGTATTAAGTTCAGGGCTGCAGTTAAATCTTGTAGGGTGTTTATAGAGACCTCACTAAGCTACTCATTAACCATGTTTATACATATGCTTATAACCGAGGATTGTCGTGCAAAAAAATGAAATCAAATCCGATATAACGAACCAATGGCAATACATAATCTTCTGGGATGTCCAATATATCCCTTTGCAAAGTAAAACTTCTTCTCAAGAACACATGGAGATAAGTCTTCTTCTGTAAAGTAATCCTACTCCAAATTATTACTTCTGACCCAATTCCGTAAGGCGATCTTTTGGAGACAATGAACTGTGAAAAATGCTGCTCTTGCCTTCTATGCACTTTAAGCCGGTTATCTAGTGTGAAACATATCGGCGCGCAGTGGGACGAAAGATGAGTTTTCATGGACTTGGGCATAGAACTCATAAATGATTTCGGATTAACTTGATATTTAGTACACTTATGTTTTCAAGGCCAAGGAAAACGAATATGATGTCAAAACTAGAAAATTTCCACAAAAAACAAAAAAAAAGGTTTCTTTGTTTAAATCTGAATATTTTTAAATTTGAGAATAAATTAACTTAAAAAATGATAGAGACCCCATAAAAGCATAATTTTAAATTCCTATACATAACTACTGTTTATATTGCTACATTATCCTTATTTTAATGTTTTTTTTAATTTTAAAAACACATTAAATTACAAAATATAATTATAATATATGTATATGTAATAACTTATCTTTTATTAATTATAAATATTCATTTTATAATAGTTCTTATGAAATAATAAACATTTTATTTTATTTTTATTACAAAAAATTTTAAAATCCATTGATAATGATATTTTGAACACCATTGATACTTCCTCGCATTTTCCAATGAAAAAATATGCAATTTTTTAATGTCTTAGGCCGGTCTAAAGTTTTGATAATCAATTACAATTTGTAATAGATCTGTTATATTAGTTATTAAATTTCTCTTAAAGAATATTTCATATATTTATCTAAAAATAAATGGAATAAAAAAAAAAAAAAAAATTACATTTAAATCAGGAGTATAGTAACTGTTCCATTCTTCTGCGAGTGTTAACCGAGGCTCCAATGGCAATGTAAGCACCAAATGTTGACATGATAGTAAGATGCTAAGCTACAAAACAAAATTAATAACTACATAAATTAATTGATTAATTAATGATATTTTCTTTGCTAATAACCTCCTTTTTATAAGGTATAGCATATTAAAAACTCAAAGTCTTAGATTATACAGAACAAATAAAAACTGTCTGTGTGCTTATTTATTTTTTTTGTAGCTAACAGATTTTAACCGATGTTATTTGTAGTCACTTTGAAGTTATATAAATCTTTATGGTTGTTTTAAAACTTCTGAAGTTTAATTAATAATTAAGCTTGCTAATTTGGAATATATTGTGAAATGAATATATGTGTGTGTGCACTTCATCTTCAACCATTACCAGGAGAAAAAATTGATAGCTTGATAAATAGCCTTTACCCTACCATCATGGACAATTTCTCTTTGCAGTAATATTTAAAAAAAAAATTAATATTCCCTCTTTGTCACTTATAATTAACTATGTATTTATTTATTTAATCATATTATAAACATATACCAAATATACTTTTTTTTTTGGAGAATATTGCTCATTAAGTTCCCAGTCGTCACACTGGATTTATTTTTAAATTTACACAAAACGGAAAAGGTTACTTTATAAAAAAGTTTTTTTCTGTGGGTCCGATAAAATAAAAATCAACCCTGCTCTGCTGGTGTCTAATCCTTTTGGTTTTATTACCAAATTAGTTTAGCTACCACACTCTTGTCAATAAAATTATATCTATACGTTTTATAAAATATTGCACATAATTTTAGGCATAGGTGCAGACTCTCCATTCTTGGTTTTCGGGAGTTTATATTATGTATAAAAATTATAGTATAATACAATTTTTAAAAATCAATATATATATATATATACTAGTGTTCGCCCAGTGGTCGTAATTTGACCATAGCCATTAAAAATTTTAAGAAAACTTATAATTAAATAAAAAATAAATTAAAGAAATAAAGAGTTAATCACGATTCAAAAATCCTCATTTATTAATATAAACAAAATTTCAAATAAAAATCGACCTTAAACTAATAAAAATTATTTATAAGTAATACAAAATAGACTCATTCAAACATTTTTAATTTATGTGTGTTATTATCACAATAAATTAATGTTATGATTAAGCAAGTAAAAAATAAATTTAAATTAGTAATTTAAATCCATTTTTATTCAGAACCTCTCTGTAAACAATGTTCTTTTTGAATGTTTTGTTATTGTTTAGTGCATAGCCTTGCCCATTGCCATTGAAAATATGAATTACAATATTTTAAATGAACGTGCTCTACTTGCTGTAACATATAATTGCGCATCTGAAATTACTGGACGTCGCAATAATACACACATTTTTCCAAAACCTTGACCTTGCGATTTGATTATGGTCATAGCAAATGCAGCTATTAATAGGAACGTTGTTCTTTGAAAGTCTAATGTAAGTATTGTGTCAGGAAATGTTAAATTAATTCTTGGAATTAAAATTATTTAATTTAAAGTAACCCCCTTTAGTACTTCACTCTCATTCATGTTTCATTAACTAATGCTTGTGCATTATTTAAGTTAAGGATGAGCACAACTATAGAATTTACTTAGAACATTCCAATAACATTCAATGATATCATATCTTCAAATAATAGTCCAGATTACTTCATTAAATGCAAAATTTTCGGTTTATCAAAAAACAAAATAATGGAAATCGATATTGCAAAATAAAACGTACTAAATGTTTAAAATGATATATCTCTGCAACAAATAGTCCGATTTCGATGTTTTTTTAAATCATTTTGTAGGAAATGAAGAAAGCTTTCAAATAAATATTGGTATTATAAAAAAAATGTGTACTTTTTGAGTTATTCGCAAATAAAATAGTGAATTCATGATAAAAATGTATGCAGCTTGTTTTCGGGAAAGTATGTTATGTACATAAATTATAAAGGTTTCAATGGGAAAACTTTAGCCAAGTTTCATTGAAATCGTTGAACCAATATCGGCGCTAAAGTCTACAGCGAATCTCGTTTTTCGGCCGCCATTTCGAAAGGAAAGGCCTGGTGATAATGAAACGTATATAAAAACACTTCTAAATATTTTTGTAACGTTGTGTCAAAATTTAAAAGAAATCGGTGAAGAACTTTCGAAGATTAGCCGTTCTGAAAAAACTACCATTTATATTTTTATTTAAATACTATTTAATATTTTTATTTATTGATAACACTAAAGGCTCGTCAATATCTATTAAACAAAAAAAAGAAGAAAGAAAATCTGTTGAATAATAGAGGAGTAAAAGGGGCTGAACCGTTTTGTGTTTGCCTATTTATATAATGATATATATATATATATATATATATATATATATATATATATATATATATATATATATATGTGTGTTATATATGTGTGTGTGTGTCTATTTATATATATATTTTTTTTTTATGGATCTATTTGAAAACATGATTAAAAAGCAATTCAATATATTAAATATTTTTATTTTTATTGCAGCAGTGAAATGAACTCTCAATTCTCTGATGCTTCAAATTTGCCGCATAAATTAGAAGGCTGCATATGAATGAATCATAAAATCGTAGGATATTTTACTACATATAATTATCTTTGAATAGAAACTAAAATTTCAATTATAGGAATATAAGTGAACATATATTATTTATTAATTGTTGTTGATTTTTATTTTATTTTCGTTCTTCAAAATATTAGGGGGCGAAACTGTATTATCGGCCCTCTCTATTTTTATTGGGGAGGCGATCTCCATCCCGAAGTCTGTGCTTATGAATTAAGGTGACCACTACAACTTATAACTAGTTGCATTGAAGTTATTTTTTTTCTAAGTTTATTACTATTTCTGTAAATAGGTTGCAGTCAGAAAACTCTACATGACTTACGTAGAAAGATTCAAAGAGAGATCGGCTTTTCGATGCCTAAGAGTATCGATATTGATAGTTTGTTATGCGGTATGGTCTACCTCACACGCCTGCTCGAGTAGATCAGATAATAAGCGGACCCTATAGGTCAGTAGGAATGACATTTCGAGGGATGATTGACATTTTGATTGATAATGTAAGGTAAAGATTGATGTAATGATTAATGGTACTGAAGGATTTTAAAAATCATGGAATCCACGAAGTGGAAGGAAGACAGAGGTAAATGTGGAGGAAAGACTACTTTAAACGCTAGATAGGTTACTTACGCTCGTTTACCAAGGTTCCACAAGTAATGTATATTCCTAATTTTCATTTAAAATAAACAGTCTTCATAACCCTAGTTTATATGTTTATAAACCATTTTCAAATACATATATCTTTTTTTGAATAATTAAATAGGCAATGAATTAAAAAGAAATATGGTACGCACATTACACAAATTTCACTTACCTCTCTGGGAATAATTTTCTGGCAATGCTGGTCTATTACAAATTTGTTGAAGTACGTTTTTTAACGGAGTTGAGCCTTAAACCTTACATCTAACCTCTAACAACTCATTAAGGCCTTTAAAATAACACAATGCCTACATATTATACCGACGGTAGGCAATAAAAACCTGTTTTTGTAAACCATATATATAGCTCGAGTCTCTGAGGTATATATGCCAAGGGATATTTGAAAGTGCATCTTTATATTTTAAGTTTAAATGATTATGGATTGTATTACTATTAGTTTTTAAACTCTCATTTTTCCATTGTTCTCATTTTTTTTAAATTATACTAAAATGGAGTTCTCACACTAATTATTAGTGAATAATGTTGTGATCTCACAGATAAAAAATTCATCAAATTATACACTAATTTAATTTTCTGAAATTTTACTTATATTGGAATAAATCGACGGTCTATACCTAATCATTTAAATAAAACATCGGATCTAGAGTTAATTAACTACAGTAAATTTATTCGAGGTTATAAAAATATGTTTTATACATCCATAAAATATCTTTATATTTCAATACTTCTTATACACAGACACAACAAAATAGTTTTTAAAACAATGACATTGCCTTGATCCCTTGGATTTTATATACTTTTTTTTTCAAGCTTAATCTATAAATAATTTTAAAAGTTTACATTTAGTTAGAAATTTTATTTTAATTTTCTTGTAGGCATGTGGTTTCCGTTAAATAATGTTAGTTATCAGAAATTATTATTTATAATTTTTTCGTCACTCTCCATTATCTTCTTCAACTTTTGCTTCCTCACCACCGAAGGTAGGTGAGGCCCTTCTAATAGAATTCAATGGGAATAAGACCTACCTGATGTGAGAGATCATTTAATTATACATTGATACACCGAGTTAATGAAAATTGTTAGAGCCGTTTTTGAGAAAAAACGTGGAAAATCGCTAATATAAAGTGGCACTTGCGGTTAGCGATTTTCAAGAAAATAGTTATCTTCTCACACATATACATATCTTAAATACGTTTATCAGTTTTAAATAAGTTAAATAAATTAGGTTATCTTTGATCAGTTTCGTACTACTTTTCGTACTCACAGACACTCTTTTTTCTTGATGTCCGGATAATAGCCAGACAAGTTTCTGAATGAAACCCATTATTTATACAAATCCACTCACCTTGTTGTCACAACGTCGACAGAAGTTAAATACACGTCAAGATATAGAAATAGATAAATTAATACATTACAGCCAATGAACATCGTTTATATAGTCTTATATATATATATATATTTGTCAATAATAAAATTGCCTTAACCTCTGCCTAATAATCCGCAACTAATCGATTCCTTTGAGATAGACAAAGAACTACGAAGACCGTCTCCTAATAAGTGGAGCCGAAGTAGGCGGGCCACTAATAGGATCGGCCGAGGTTATAAATTTGTCGGCGTGGGCCTGCCGCGGTACCAATTATCATCCAAATCGTCCAACTTGGTTCGCTCCTTCTCTGGGGTTCAATCTCCTTCTTAGATTCGTAGATAAGCTTCATCTCGTTTTAGATCCAGTCAGCGAGTATTAAAAAAAATAAAATTAATAAAATAGTAAATTAATTTAAGAACTTTTGGTGTAACTCTTGA